TTCGCGGAGAGAGTGAGTGGCAGGAACATGAGTGGCATACCAAGGTCGTCGTATTTTTAGTTAGGCCAATGTTTAGTTGGCCACGTTCGTTCGTCGGAGATAGAGAGACCTTGAATTTCGCGGATAACATCTGCAGCCTTATCGACGCGGTTCCCGAATTCTCGCCCTCTCTCCCTCCCTTCCGCTTTGCCCATCATTTCCCCCCCCCCCACTTCCCGGTGCGTATCGAAACTTTCGTAAAAAAAGAGAGATGTATACTCGACAAGATCCAACATTCACGCAAGGCTATTCCCTGTCGATGAGTAAACGCATTGCATAAATCAGACTGGCCAATAGGGAACGCAAGTAGCACGTGGTATGTCGCAAGATATTCTTCTCTCCGAAACTAGCTAAAAAGAGAGAAAGAGAGAGAGAGAAGGAAAAAGAATTATATCATTCTCTCGAGCGTCGAAGAGCGATTGACGACACGGGACGACACGACTCGTCGTCGCCGACGTATATACCCGGCGAGATATAATTTAATGTATCTAATGATTCGCGGAGAGAGTGAGTGGCAGGAACATGAGTGGCATACCAAGGTCGTCGTATTTTTAGTTAGGCCAATGTTTAGTTGGCCACGTTCGTTCGTCGGAGATAGAGAGACCTTGAATTTCGCGGATAACATCTGCAGCCTTATCGACGCGGTTCCCGAATTCTCGCCCTCTCTCCCTCCCTTCCGCTGCCCATCCTTTCCCCCCCCCCCCCACTTCCCGGTGCGTATCGTCGCGAGATAAACTTTTTCAGTACTAACCTAGTATAAACCAGCCGTTCAAATATTAATCGACAATGCGAGGCCGCACCTGAGTTTGCACAACCGACCGAACGGCTGATTGTGCGGCGCATTTGTCAAACTTTTCTTCCCCAAGGATACCTAGCGAAAAAAAAAAAAAATGTGTATATATATATATATATATATATATGCGTGCGCGATGCGAAAAATGCGTCAGCCTGTCACGGTGCAAGTCGCGGCCGATGATGACGACGTCAACTCGTTCTTACCGCCGCCGCCGCCGCCGTCGTCGTCGCCGCGCCAGCTGAGGCGCGAAAACGCACACATGATCGGTCCGGATATTTTTTTTTCGATCCTTCCCTCCTCTCTCTCTCCCGCGACACACGCGTGAACGCACATACATACGCGCGCGCGCAAACACCGCCAAAATCCGCTTGTGGAAGGTCACGTACGCTCAAGTACGCCATTCCTCGTTCCCGTAAGTAATTATTCGTCATTATCTTTAACGCGGAGAGGACGACTTCACGTATCACACCTTGAGCCATATAATCGCGACGTTACGCCGACGTAAGCAGCTAGCTTTGTCTCCGAAAGAGTCGATAGCATATTTTATTGCGCGACGATTCTCTATTACAGCTTCGTTATCGATGTGTACTCTTGATTCTCGTCTATGTCTCTTAATCGTGGCGATTAAAAATCGTACGGCAAATATCGCGATTTAAGATGATACTTTTTTTTCGTATTTCTTTTTTTCCACTTTTGGTTTAAACAACTGTTAGTTTCATTATTAATATACATATATACATATACGCATAGTTTTTTTTATAGATATAGAGAAAAATAATTGATCTATCACATCCTCTTTTACAATTATACATACGTATGTGCGCGTATGAAAGATTCGCGAGTTGTACGATGAAATTTCGAGCGTCTTATCGAATCGCGATTGTATTGTGCATCTTTTTTATTCTCTCCATCATACCTGCTCATAGCGAGACATCACGACGGCGTTATATCGGCGATATCATCGCCGCGATATTGATTCTATTGCAAAACGTTAACACACGGGGGGAGGGGGGGACAACGGTACACCGATACTCAACGTTCAGTCGAGCGATACAAGCACGGCAACGATCGATTATCGGGGAAATCGGCATATTTATAAGGTATATCGACGAGATACTTAAAGCATCGGCGCTCTGATCGTTGATGCTCTCGATCTAGGAGAAGATGCGAAAACACGCGTATATGGCATGGCTCGTCGTAGCCGCGACGTCGTTAACCCCTTTTTAAGACCGGATGCAGCCCTTACGTACGTGTCGCACAAACACGCGGGGGTAACGATCTTCGCGACGAATATTGCAGTGATGTAAACTCGTGCAACTCAATCGATTAATTGCACTTCTTCCGCGCCAATTGTGATCGTCGTGTCGATATATATGAATTAATAACGGGTGGTTCTCGATAAATTTCGAGCGTCTTATCGAATCGCGATTGTATTGTGCATCTTTTTTATTCTCTCCATCATACCTGCTCATAGCGAGACATCACGACGGCGTTATATCGGCGATATCATCGCCGCGATATTGATTCTATTGCAAAACGTTAACACACGGGGGGAGGGGGGGACAACGGTACACCGATACTCAACGTTCAGTCGAGCGATACAAGCACGGCAACGATCGATTATCGGGGAAATCGGCATATTTATAAGGTATATCGACGAGATACTTAAAGCATCGGCGCTCTGATCGTTGATGCTCTCGATCTAGGAGAAGATGCGAAAACACGCGTATATGGCATGGCTCGTCGTAGCCGCGACGTCGTTAACCCCTTTTTAAGACCGGATGTGCAGCCCTTACGTACGTGTCGCACAAACTCGTGCAACTCAATCGATTAATCGCACTTCTTCCGCGCCAATTGTGATCGTCGTGTCGATATATATGAATTAATAACGGGTGGTTCTCGATGTTCGAGCGAATGTATCTGCTGCGGCCGGCGTACAACTTTTTTTTCGCGTGATAAAATCGTCATTACAACCGAAAGCGTCGCTCTGCCCATGTAACTGCGCTTCGTTCAACAGTCCCGATTACATTTTATGGATATGATAAAATATCTCGGAAAGAAATTGCTTCAAGTAAATTATTCGATTCTTATAGATGCAAGGTGCGTGACTTTTTTGAATATCTCATCCAGTTTAAAATTGCTTTCTAAAGTAAATTTTCTTTTTTGATAAAAGTACATTTTATTATATAAATACTTGGCGTCGCGACGCTGCCGCGTCGCTTGATATGTATGTATATATATTTGTGTATAATATATCTCAAAGTATAATGTAATTTTCTGGAAAATGGAACTTGCATGTATTTAAAAAATGCCTTCGCGTAAAGAGTTACAAAGTCATAATAAATATATTTAATATATTTA